TGTCTCAGTCACGGATTGTTTATTATCAATTATGATTATCATTAGATATACTTTCTGTATTGTCAGTTAGTGTATTTATAAATTCATAACAATGTACCTTACTACAATTGATAATAACAATGCTGTGTACCTGCTAATATCGATGTTATAAAAAACCAATTAGCTACCTGTATTTGTAATCCCTTGTGTATTATACATGAATATTAACTCAAAATTTTGAAACTTTAAATGTTTATATCTAATAAGCTAATAAAGTTATATTAAAAATTCAAATGCCATTTACTTTTGAATTAAAAACTCAAACATTTTATTAAATTAAAAATATGTGTTACCATTTAAAAATACAAAGTTGACCCCCCTCCAAGGCATAAGGGATGAACTTAAAAAGTATTACATAGTTAAAAATTCATGAATAATGTGTAACTAAAGATAATAAAAAAAAAAAAAATGTTTAAATTATTATTACTTTCCAAGTAATTGAGTGGGTTATGATAAAAAAATCACCCTGTATATATATAAAAAATGGATTGATCAATATATTTTTCAAAAATTTATAGCATTTTAAAGTTAAAAATGTATAAAAGAATTTTTTTTTCCATAATGAAGTATATTACATAAGCTTTAATTTAAAGTATATATAAAAGTGTCAGTATTTCCGAAACACTTTCAAAATTTAAGTTGAAAAAGATATTTTTTTGTGAAAAAATTGTCATTTTAAATCCCCACTGTGGGCAGATAAAGGGTTAAATTTATAAAAAAAAAATATACCAAATGATAGGTAAAGACATCAAGCATTTATAAAATAAAAATTATATTGATTTGGTCATTTTTGAAAAAGTTATGGCAGTTTTAAATAAAAAAATTGAAAAAATTTAGAAAATTGGCGATTTTTTAATTTATATATTTTTGGAGATTACCCTCATTTACGGTGAACAAGGAAATTTTTTTCAACTTTTGAGGGTAATGTCTTTGACTAGATACGATTTGTGATCTTTTGACGTATTGTTGAAAGAAATCGGCATGGAGAGAGCTGAGAAAAAGTAGTAAAAATTAATTTAATTATAAATTAAAAAAGAAAAAAAAACATGTTATTGTAAAATTAATACCTTCTCAGCTTCACATCGAAGCTAAAATAAATAGAACATTGATAATAAAAACATAAATGTTTTATTATAATAATAAAATTATAAATATAATTTGAGTATATTGGTATACTCGAATTTAGACGATTGCTATAAAACAATTATTCAATGTTTTAAAATATTTACATAAATATATTTTAAGGATAATTTATAGATAACTTNGATTGCTATAAAACAATAATTCAATGTTTTAAAATATTTACATAAATATATTTTAAGGATAATTTATAGATAACTTATCACAATTACAATTACAATTAAAATTTAATATTAACTGGTATAACATCTTCAATTAACATGATTCTTATGACTTTTTAAATATATAAATAATTTATCGTATTATATTATATTAATTTACAATTGTATGCAATGTAAGAAATTATCTAAAAATTCTCATACATATGATATTTTTGTACACATTTTAAACATAAGTAGTATAGTTTGACATAAAGTATGAAAATTCGTATAGAAATACAATTTTATCACAGTATTTCCAAATTTTACCGTACATTATATGTCTTCAATAGATGTAAGTGAAAATTCAAACATTTTCTTTAAAGATTGTAAATAAGAACATACGACGCATTATATTTTTATTTATACAAGGAAAATTTCTATAAATTAATAAATATTTGTTATTCTTTATAAATGACTACCTATGATTAAGAAATATTATCTTCTTAGTTGTCACATTTTCAAAATCAAATTATTTTTGCGGATCAACGCAATTCCGTTTTCAATTCCATCGGTATTCATTGAGACCTACTCAGTTTACAAATTATTTCCAGAAAACTAATTTAATTTTTGAATAATAATCTTGATATTGGTACATCATGGATTAAATATACTCGTATTTATTACATTTTTATAAAAATAATAATAAATTTTCTTACTGCAAAAAGAATTCTTTTTATGGAAATATTCAATATTATATTATTAATGAAATACCATTTGAATTTTAAATTACTTAATATAGATAATAATTATTAACTGACAAATAGTATCATAATATTAAAACTCTATAGTTTACAGCTAATATGGAGCTATTAAATTCAATTAAATCAAATTTACTCTTAAAAGGAAGAAATACAGCTAAACAGAAAAAGTTCATTTGTTTGAAATTATAATAAGTTATTAACCAACAATGAGACAAAGCCATAATTCCCAGTACACCATTATACTTCGATTTCCATCCGATTTTGATAATATTTTCATTGAAATAATGTTGTTTAAATAACTAGGTAAATAAAAAGTCACAGTGGCGTCATTAAATTAGTTTTATTTTTAAGTTGAAATGTAATAAAAATTGTATTATTTTTAAACTACAACTTATTATGTAGACATTTTTGGCTACTTATGTTAACAAAGAACAAATACCATTTTTTATTCATCTGTAAACGATCGTCTATAAATTGTTATTGACCTAGAAAATTCGCTTGTGCTACAAAGGAGCATTTTAAAACACAATTCACGTTCAATGTAATGTTGGAATTGAAATAGACGGCGTCATTCAATGTGCAATCCATGAAATCTTGTATTTGCCTTAAACCTCATAGTCTTATAATCGAAAAAGTTCGATTCCCTAGACACCCATTTCTGGTTAACAACTATGACAATTCTCATGTTAAGTCAAATAACTTAAAGTTGTGTTAATCCAAATTGTAGTGCAATATTCAACTTGTCTAATAGTAAACAAAACTTTGTTTATTTTCTCTTTAAGTCTATGGACGGTAGTTAATTTATTTTAATTTTACTACATTTAAAAACTATAACATGACGAATTTTAAATTAAAAATTTTCCTTTTTAAATGATATTAAAATGAACACAGTATATGTATTATACGTTATAATTGTTTTATTCTGTAAGGAACTAAGCTATTAATCGATAGCTTATATTATTAATTAAAAATTACATTTAGTAAGTTATTATTAGTTAGTAAATTGAATTTGAACTTTTATGTGAACACTGTATTTGAATATATAAAAATAGAAATATAATTACAATAATATGTTTTCTTGTTTAAAAAGTATTAATGTTTCATCTTGAGCTACTTGTGCAATAAAAACATTATTATAGTTATTAATTACAATTAAACATAAAATAACTGTAACATGTTTCAACTATATTTAAATCTCGTGAATTATACTATTATGGTATTCCGTCAATGAATCGTGGTTTTAAATTAAATAAATTAGGAGAATAAAAAATGTCTTTTTACCTCCCACCATCAAAAAAAATGTATTAAAATTTATAGATTTCAGAGTATATTTAAAACTATATAAAATATATGTAAGAATATCCCCTTGCCCACTTATTTTTCCCAATTACTCTACTTTATTACTGCAGCAGTTTGTTATACTACTATTTATTAAGGATCAACAAAAATCAATGAATTTATGCATATAAAATTTGTTATTACGAAGAAAATTGTCTTTATATTATGAAAGTTTTTTCAAATAGACGGTTATTATCTTTCATAATTTGCACATTTATTTCATAAATTAAAATATTTAGTTCTGGCAATTACTAAAGCGTCAAAATTAATATTAATTAAATTAAAAATAAGTATTAAGTTAAAACTTAATACTTATCATCGCCAAGGCGATTTGTTAACTAGCAATGAATTGACCGGCAATAAAATAACCGCCAGCTGACTAGTATAAAATAACAATTAAGTCGTTCAGTTGCAAACAAACGAAAATCTAAACAAAAATGTTTTGTAACTTTGCTATTACTGGACAAATAGACTGGAAAAAGCGAATAAAAAAAAAACAAACTTTGAATTTACGTCCTTTTAAAACTGGACTACTGAATTTTATTTTGTATTAAGTTTCATGACTTCATTAGCATACAAAAATATTCAATATAGTATTTACTTTTAGTGTCATTTAAAATGTACATACCGTATAAAATAGAACATAATATAAAACTACACTCATAATTATTAATGTATTTTTCTGAGGATTGTACTATTATAATAATTTACATTTCAAGAATATAAATTTGAATATACATTTTGATATACTTGAAATATAAGATACACCGGTTGTCACATAAAGAATCACAGAGGTTTACGAGTTCAGTGCGGCGTTATAATTTGAGTGTCACTTAAACTAAANTTACGAGTTCAGCGCGGCGTTATAATTTGAGTGTCACTTAAACTAAAAGAACCACGTCGGATATCACAATAGCTGGTGTCTTGCTATTTTCTCTTTGTATTAAATTTATGAGAATGTATAATAGAAAACGAAAGCCAAAAAGCACGTGACGTGATTGTTTTAAACGACATTATGTGTCCGAAAGTAATGTTGCTTGTATATTTCATAGTATAAAAGTAACATGTAGAAAAAACAATTAAAATATTTTTACAAATTATAATCTATGCTTACATTCTAACTAAAAGAATTCTTCGTAGTCATTAAACAACGTGGACGTTCATCTTTAGCCTAGTATATGCAATTTTTTTTTTTTTTTTAATACAATGTTTTATTTGAAAATACACCCCTTCCTCACTATAGTGAAATTTAATTGTGTAATGATAATGGAATAATGAAAAAAGGAGGATGTTTCAATTTTTAATCTTAACTCGTCCCTGTGTTATAATTTACTAAACAAAAATGTATTTTAACGTATGTTTCAATTTTTTAAGATAAAGGTATACAAAAAAAAGTAATTTTAATAGGAAGTTATAATTTGAATTCATGGTAGGTATATAATTAGTAAGATAGACATTTTACTCAATGTTATTAAATCAAGTATTGTTGCTAATAGTCTTAAATACACGTGTAGCAAGTTTATTTAAAACTAGTTATTTTATGACATTTTAAACCAGCTTCTCAAACTTGTCTCTTGAATAGTGTTATCGAGAATCACTTCACCCTCGTTACTATATACACAAAGGACATTTCAATCATTCCATTAGTTGTCTTTAATCAAAACTCAGTAACGCATGCAATCTTGTACTCTTAATCATGCGCTTTTGGGTAACTCCAATAACCGTCTTTGGGGCAATTATTGTGACACAGATTTGTTTAGCGAAAAATATTAAACAAATTGAAAAATCGTCTTACTCGCTTATTGAAGAACAAGACAATGAAAATTCTACGTTAATAACCGTACCCGATGCATTTGATGTAGAAGTATCAGAGTCATCGTCATTGGAAATAACTACAGAAACAATACCAGACACAACAATACTCATCGATACCTTTAGTACGACAACATTCGAACAAAATGATACCTTTAAAAATAGTTGGGTGCAAAAAATTAAACAAAGACGTTTATTTCAATCACGTGAACAATTTACTTCAAGAGGTACCGGAAATAGTCCACTATGGTTCGGACAAATTGTATCGAAATTTCTATACGGTGAATGGTCATTAGTAGACATCAATGCAAATTGTGCAAAAGATTTGATAACGTATAAAGCTCACATTAGAGAATCTAAAATATGGGCCATAAAAAGTAAGAGTTGTTTACAATTTATTTTCTATGATAAATTTAAAAACAATAATAATTGTTGTCGCCGCTTCTTGAACTGTACCCGTTTTTCTTAGCATATGAAAATAATAATACGTTTCATTTATAAACAAAGTTTTTTATTACTAAATGTTAACAAGTATCCTTTTACTTAAACAAAAACAGTTCTGTCGTTCCGCTGTCATATGTGGTTACTACAATTTATTAAAAAAAAAAAAAGTTTCTGTAATTTGTTAACTTTTTTCTTTCATGCATAAATTAATTGAATTATAACAAAATAAACAGGTACTTACAAATTTGATAACTAGATTAATCATTAGTATTTTACAATACAATATAAATTTCCCCATAAAATTTTTTATTTTATAAATTGTTATATCGGTTTCATAAATTTGTAAACGGTTAATTGTAAACTAAGTACTCAAAAAAACTTCTTTTTAAAGCATTCCAAAAACTACTTTAATAATTTTGGTCTATGATATAAATTGTTTTTTAACACAACAATCATAATAGTTTTGTGTTTATTATCATAATTGTTATGAATAAAATTTCACCAATTTCGATAAAAATATATTAATATATTAATATTTGATATAGCTAGTAACCATACCATTTAATATATACAAAACATTTAAAATCAGTTACATACAAATTTCAGAAATTCATAATATATAATTTAGGTTCTATCTATATTAACAATGCTAAATAAATCACTTAAAAAAATTAGAAAAAATTGTTATGATTTTATTTAATTCACTTAAATATCATAATATTGGTTTAGTTTATAAAATGTGTTATTATTTTGTTATTTATTTTATTTTTTTTCCAAAATTAATAAAAATTTAATATTTTATTTACAAAATACTGACACATTCAACATTAACTGTGTATTAGGTTAGACAAGTGTCCTCAGTATGATTTTTCTTTTTCGTATTATTTAACTATTTCTATTCAGATAATGACTAACTTGATGGCCTTTAATAATATGTTTTATTTACTATAACTATACCAAATGACTGATACTCAACTAACCTGTTTGTATCATACGAACATTGATACTCACGATACAGGTACTTCTTACACTTCCTACTCTACATCAATTATATTTCTCACGATAAGAGAGATAAACAATATTTGTATCTAAATTAATCAACGGAGGTTAAGATTTGTAATAAAAAGTATATAAAATTAAATGCAAACTTTGAAACACACGAGAATCTCTTTTTGATGAATTATTCAAAATACAATTTTATTATAACAAAAAAAATGTTGATTTAAATTAAACATATATAACATAGCAAAGACATTAACGTATAAAAATCCATTTTTAATTGTGTTATTAAAGTATTTTTTTTTTTTTTTTTTAGTGTTAGATTCTTCAGCTAAAGGTCCTGATGGTTTATTAACGGGAAATACAGCTAGTTTTGGAAATTTTGAACAGTGTTTGAGTGCTACTTCTAAAAGTACTGGAATTAGCGGTGGATATACTTTAGTAGACATAGATTTTCGACCATTTAAAAATATTTACCCAAAATTTTACGATAACGATCATTCTAAAGACTATGACGTTTTTATTGATAATGATGAATCTATTTGGGAAGTTATAAAGGTAAGTTTCTATTTATGTTTTTGATGGATTTTGTATGACTATACATTTGTTCTGTTTCAAACAAAATTAATACATAACTAAAACTCAGTTAAAACGCAAAAATAGTTATTTGTTATAAGAATGACACGTGATATACAAGATAATTTTTTTATCATAACCCACTCAATTACTTCCAGAACAAATATATTTAAACATTTTTTTTTTTATTATCTTTAGTTACACATTAGTCTTGAATTATTAACTATGTAATATTTTTAAGTTCATCCCTTATGCCTTGTAAGGGTGTCAACTTTGTTTTTTTAAACAAAGTGGAAACACATATTTTTAATTTAATAAAATTTTTGAGTTTTTAATTTAATAGTAAATGGTATTTGAATTTTTAATATAACTTTATTCGTTTATTAGATATAAATATTAAAAGTTTCAAATTTTTAAGTTAATATACATATAAATATATATATAACACAAGGTGTTACAAATACAGGTAGCTAATTGGTTTTTTATGATAACAATATTCGCAAGTACACAGCATTGTTATTATCAATGGTAGAAAGGCACATTGTTTTGAGTTCATAAATACGCTAACGGACTATATAAAAAGTATATCTATTGATAGACATAATTGATAATAAACAATCCGTTACTGTGACAGCGATGTCATAAAAAACATTTAGCTACCTGTATTTATTTGTAATACCTTGTGTATTATACATGTATATTAACTCAAAAATTTGAAATTTGAAATTTAAAATGTTTATATCTAATAAACGAATAAAGTTATATTAAAAATTCAAATGCCATTTACTATTAAATTAAAAACTCAAACATTTTATTAAATTAAAAATATGGGTTTCCATTAAAAAAACAAAGTTGACGCCCTTACAAGGCATAAGGGATGAACTTAAAAAGTATTACATAGTTAATAATTCAAGAATAATGTGTAACTAAAGATAATCAAAAAAAAAAAANGTATTACATAGTTAATAATTCAAGAATAATGTGTAACTAAAGATAACCAAAAAAAAAAAATGATTAAATATATTTTTCTGGAAGTAATTGAGTGGGTTATGATAAAAAAATCACCTGTAATTTCATGTGAAATATTTTTAAAAAAATTTCAAAAAAAAAATGATAATTGTATCAATAATAATATGCGTTGTCAGTTATGTCTAAGTCAGCCGTGTATAATAATTTAGTATTTTTTTTTTTTAACACTTAATTATAAAATCTAAATTTTTAGCCTCTAATACATTTTATAAATGTGATAAAAAATTTCTTTCTGATACCACCATGTATCAAACGGTTTAAGTCATTTTTTGTTAAATAGATCAAACCATTTGGCTTACTTAACATCCTCGTTACCATATAAACAATCAAATGATTAAATACATAAATCAAAATAATTTTAAATTAAAAATAGTAGCTACTACCAGTATTAAAGAATATTGAATTAGTTTGATAAAATTATTATTACAACTAAACCTTTTAAATAAGTACAAAATACTATTATTAGAGTAATAACTTACCCTCAATATGAATCCTTTTAAAATATTTTAATTATTTATACAATTCAGTATTTAAATTTTATATTCACTATCATTCATTTTTAGCACAGAGTACAACCTGACTATATACAAAGACATCATTATCAATGGGCTATATGTCTACCGAATACTTGTAAACCAAACGACGTTCAAAATATAGTAACCAATACCCTAATACCTCAATTAAAACACTATGGAATGGAAGGAAATGTCAGTGTAGATCCAACTTTACATACTTCTAAATTAACTCTTCGTGAATATACAGTAGGATTTTATTTGACCTGGTAAATAATATAAAAATATTTTTTCCGTGATAAAATTTAACTAGATATAAGTTAAATAAAAGTAAAAAATATTATCTGTTCTATAATTTTTAATAAAAAATTTTTAAATATTATTACTTTTATACTATGGCTAAAAGAGTAGTGCGGGTCTGTTTATTATTATCTCTAGTCATTTATGAACCACAATACTCAACCCCCTAGTATAATTTTAAATAGGATATATCTGGTTCAAAATTTACAATATTTAGAGAACATATCCACACGATTAATAATTCCATACTTTAATTTTTTTTATTGCAGAATGATAGACTACACATATTATGTAAAGCTTATTATTTTATTCAAATTGATACAATTATGTATCGTAATCAATCAATTTGAACAAATAAAACTTCTTGATTATAACTCATAAATTTCAATTAGAAAATTTCAATGGTAAAATTGTTAAAAAAAACTCATAAAAAGTGTATTATTTTTGTTTGTGAGAAATTCTGCATGATTCCTGTTACACATTATGTTACATAGTTTACAGAGATAAAGCTCATTAAGATTTATCGGCTTTTATATATTGTTTATAATTAAATGTAATAATTTTGTTATTTTTAGTGTTTTTTTTCTAATTTTGGTGAGTATGGTATTTCTTGGAACTTGGTACGATTTTCTATTTTTATACTACAAACCAAAATCTGAGCATGGATCTTTAAGTATGCTTATTTTTTGTAATTTTATCATAAATAAGTTAGTTATAATAGTCAAATGTAGATTTTAATTTATTTCACAACAATTTTTATCAGAAAAAATCATGAAGCCATTTTCTTTGATATCGAATTTGGACAGACTTATGAAACCTTCCCAATCTGATGAATTTTCAATAATGAATGGATTTAAATTTTTGTGCATATTACAAGTAATACACGGACATAGAAATATAAGAGAATTTGGAAATCCTCAAATGAATAATGACTTTAACTATTGGGTAAAAATTATTTATTTGGTTAAATGTTCAGGACTAAAAAGTTTTCTTTTTTTTTTTAGATGTTACACAATTTTTTTACCAGCGTTTTTAAATGTGTCAACTTTTTGGAAACATTTTTTGTTATAAGTGGATTTTTAACTTATAACTTGCTTATGAAACAATTAGCTTCAAAAAAGCGATTAGATTTCATTCCAATTATGATTTATCGATGGTTAAGGTAAAATAATGAAATTTGAATATAATTCTGTTATTTTCAATTAATTTATTTGTCTAGGATATTTCCCGTGTATGGAGCCCTTCTACTTACTTACATTTTTCTACTACCATACTCAAATAATGGCCCTTATTGGCAGAACATAGTTTATAAAGAGTCAGATAGATGTAAAAATAACTGGTGGACCAATTTATTATTTATTAACAATTATGTCAACACAGAAAATTCGGTACAACTTGATTTTATTATAATTTAACGCATAATAAATAGGTCAAATGATTTTTGTTTTCTTATTTCAGTGTACAATCAATGCTTGGTATTTGGCGTGTGACATGCATTTCTTCATAATTGGTGTATTGTTGACTTACGCAATTTGGAAATGGAAAACATTGGGCATATGGGTTCTTTATACTTGTTTAGGAATGTCTACAATTTTACCCGGATATTTGATTTATACCCATAAATACATTGCAGTTGCTCCCCTTGATGCAACGTAAGTATAACTAGTAAATAAGAAAAATTATTCGTCAAGTTATTCTGATTAATTTTTTTTTTCTGTAGGAGTCTCAAAGATTTAGCAAGTACGTCATATTATAGAGATATCTATATTAAAAGTCATATGAGAGCTATGCCATATTTTATAGGAATGGTTGCTGCTTATATTTATGAAAAATTAAAAGAATCTAGATACAAATTTCCATTGGTAAATAACATTTTACAAAAAAAAATTCTATGATAGATTCGAATGAAAAGTCATTATAATTTTAATTTTATAATACTGTAATATTATGTTATAACTTATAATATTAGGATTTTATCTTTTGAACATGTATGTCACATATTATGAATCTATAAGATCACCAAAAACAAGAATATTTTCATAATATGTGACACACATGTACAAAAGATAACATCATAGAACATTCTAATATTATAAATGATAACATAATATTACTAGATAATATAGTATTAGTATATATTAGTATTATATAATATATTTTGATCGTAACTTCAAATGTGTCATAAGTCCATGTGCCTGTAGTAAATAATTTATAGATGCATAGAGTTACGACCAATATTTAATTAGTTGAGTTTAAATATTTGTACTATAAAATTAAATTTGAACTTGAAATGCTATTATGATTAAGATTATTGTTTTTTATATGCATTTGGTTACCAAACTAGTTTTAAAAGTAATATAGATGTTTTCAAAAAATTACTTTTATACTTTTACAGAAAACAAGAATTTTTTGGCTATCAACCTGTTTTATAGCTGGATTTATGGTATATTTATCTCCATCCTTATTCTTTGTCTTTGACTTTAGTCGACCTTATTCATCATTTGAGCATGCTATGTTCTTTACTATACCTCGACTAGTATTATCTTTAGCTATATCTTATGCAATTATTGTACACGGAATATCTAACACAGGTAAGAATATTTAAAATAATATTTGATTATATTTAAAATTTAAAATTTATTTTTAGGAGTATTCCTTAGCGGCTTTTTAGGCCACAGATCTTTTCAAGTTCTAGCAAAATTAGTATTTTGTATATACGTCTTTCAAGAAATAATTCAAATACAGACGGTAGCATCAATGAAGACACCAATTTATCAAGACTTTACAACACTTGTAAGATATCAGTACTATTATACTTTTACTAAATAAAATTTTTTTGGTAAATTTTTATAACTGTAGTGAGGATAGGTTATTTAATTATAATAAAATAATCTTTTTTTAGGGATTCAAGTTTGGTGGAGATTTATTTATGGCCATAATCTATGCTTTTATTGTTAACGTTACAATTGAATCTCCTTGTGACAGACTTCAAAAGAATGTGATGAAACTATTTAATGGAGGTAAATTTTAAAATTTAGTTTGAGATCATGATTTTTTCACTATATAACAAAATTGTACAAATTTTGTACAATACAATTCAACAGCAGTCAGATCAATGCTTACGATGTTTATTATTCATTTTTTCAGAATTGTTTATCAAAAATAAAACGGAATCATCCAGTATTCAAAAAGTAGTTACACTGAGAGAAATGAGATCTTAGAAACTTGACTGAAATTTTATTTATTTTAATAGATACAACAGTAAATTATCGTTTATACAATTATGTATTTACAAAATATGATTAGAAATCATAATGTAAATTGTATTTTAACACTGTTAAAACGTAATTAAATAATCATTGATATTTTAAACTTAATTATTTTTTAAAGGATTTATGGCATGATAAAATAGTTTTTTTGATTAAGCTTAAAATTGCTGTACTTTTATTGAAGAAATTCATAAATTATAAATAGGTAATATCAATGAAGCTTAATTAAATATTAAAAATTGTCAAAATAAAAAAATTAAACCTCTTACCAGGAGGTAAATGTGTTGTTCATTTCTATAAAAGTTCCAAATAAATCTATTATAGCATATAAATTAAAAATTTTAAAATACTTAAGTCATGTAGTGTGACGTAAATAAGGGGAATCTGGAGAGTACTGCTGCATTAGAACCTTAAATTTTAATATGTGCCCTTACACGAGGCCGCGCACTTAAGGAGCCTCATAAATTTAGTTGATAACTAAAGAATAAAGGTTCTTTTTTACTAAAAATATAAAAAGCCCTTCAAAAATATTTCGCGCAAGGCGAAATATGGCTACCCGTTACTTCTATCACTAGCCCTGTTACAATCGATTAGAAAGGTGCCTTTTATGTTTTGTACTGTAGGGCCAATTTTTTACACTTACTCTACTTGTGGTATAGATATAAGCTTAGTTCAAAGTAGGTAAAGTGAATTTCACTTTTTTTAAGAAGAGCAAATTGAAACAAAAATTATTGTTGATTTTAATACAATATCTACTGGTGTCTTAAATATTAAGTTTTTACTTTGAAAAATAAATGTTATTCTATAGTTAATAAAATTACACGATTAACTTAATTTTGTTTAAAAAACACTTGAAACACCTTTTTTTTACTAAGCTATCGGATATGATGTGATATTTATACTCAAATATAAGCACTCAATTAATGTTTCAAAATACTTAAGAAGCAAGATATTTTACTCACTTTAAGTTATTTCTTTTAAATTTTAATCATGTTGTCTTTTTATTTTCAGGTAAAAAAATTTAGGTAATTTTCAACAAGACCTTACCGATAATTCAAATTTTTTTATAAAAGATATACCTGCATAAATTGTTCAATAGAATAAAAATATAATTTCATTATAGCTTTTTTTGTTTATTTTTTATAAATGATACCAATAATTTTTTCAAACACTTGCACATTAAACTAACAAAATAAATTATGATGACTACAATAGACATCATAAGTACAATGACATCTATTAAATAATATTGATACCAAGGTAAATGTACAGCCGCTGTTTTTAAATTATGTGCGCCGTTGTGTCTGATAACGTACTCTACCCAATAAATTGCCTTATCAACTGCTGACATGGGTTTATCTCGAAAAATAGCTGAAACTCTCTTAGCATTTTCACTATACCTACATAATTATTTTGTAAATTAGTGTAATAGAAAAAACAATACAATATTTCTTTTAAGATTTTTTGAAAGTACCAATTAGTTTAATTATACAAAGTGGTAGGTAAAATTAACAATGGTCGACATGATAAAATATAATACTTAAAAAATGTTTTTTTTTCATGTAAAAATGTCGTTAAACTTTTCATGATATTTTCAAAACTTTTAAAAAAAGTATAAATTAAAAACAATAATAAAAATGTATAGCAGTATTTACTTTTTATCAGTCAAAATGCGATTAACATAATTTTCCATTTTTTTTTCAGTTAAATGAAATATATTTCCTATTATTCCATATCCATCATCAACAGTAGCTCTAATATTCACAAATTGATCCCCAAAAACTGGAAATCCTATTATAGGTACACCGGCCAGTAAGGATTCTATTAACCCGTGAACTCCTCCGTGTGTGATAAAAAGCCTACAATTAGAATGATCTATAAAAATAAAGCTAATATAAATTTTACCAAAGATGAGTTAGCGCAAAAAATTATACTTAAAATCTCCATCTGTGGTAACCAAGAGTCGACGTAAAAGTTATTAGGAAAACTTGAAGTATCTTTATTAATCCATTTAAAAATAATTTTTTGATTCAAACGACCCAACACTGTAACTAAGGAATCAAAAGAATCTTTTGGTATGTCGGTTACGTTTAATATAGTGCCAAAATTGAAATATATTACTCCTGATGTCGCGTTATCCATAAAATCTTTTAATTCCTAAATTTTAAAAACAATAAACCAATTAGTTTATCATTGTTCGACAACCAACACAGTACGCACTAATATAGTATTTATATCGTTTTATTAGCAAAAATATAAATGTAAAAACTAAATGTTTTATTTAATTTAAAACATTGATTTCAAAATTTATTACAAAAAAAAAAAAATCTAAACAGAAATTATTTAAAAAAATTTTAAAAGCTACTTAATTCACTATTAAAATCACTGGATGATCAAACTTAGAGATCAATTTTCGGTCATGACAAAAATATATATGGAATTGGAAAACTGTAGGCATTAATTAAATAGATAAAAAACTAACAAACAATAATTTATGGTTTATGGTTGCTACGATAAATTTACAGAAATTTGACTTTAAGTCTTATTTCGATGCACCTGCGAATTTTACAATACATTTACAAGGCAATAATTTGTTAAAACGAAGATTCATTGAACAAAATTATTTGTGTAAATGTTATAACTACTAACCTTGCTCATTGATTTAGTCGGCCGAATATGAATACCTGAAACTTCGATAAAACTTGGAACATAAGGACGTGGACTGAGTATCATAACATCGGAATCGACTAGGTTTAGTGAAACATTCTTGAGCATATTTTTCATTGAGGGTCGATTTTCAAATCCGGCATATTGAAAATATTTATTCATCGTGTTTTCCATTTTTGAAAAGTAACTAATGGGCTCTATCAGCCAATTGTACATACTGTAAATTGTATTTATACATCGTTCGTGAAAATTCATCAATTTACCAGCGTTAATCACAAAATCCTTAATGTATGAAATATCTGATGGGTTTGCAGCCCACTGTGATGTAGTTGTCCATGGCGGTACTGGAATCAGATTTATCACTGGAGCGTCATACTTATGGCCCAGAGAAACTGTGCATTCCTGGTAAAATGATTCTAATATAACCAAATCAAATCTTGATTTATCTTCCTTTATAAATGCTTGAATGTCTTTCGATGACAAATACAAGTTAGTATTGAAAGCGGCTATTTGGTCCCGTAAATACAACTCGAGCAAAAAAAAGAACATTCCACGCTCTTTCATCAAAAAATTTGATGCTAAAAATTCAATTATATTTGTTAAATAATTTTTTACGTCAACTACAGTTGATATTATAATCAATAAAAATTTAAGACGGAAAATTTTGCTTTATTTATACGTAGTCGCAATTACGACTGCGTATGAAGTACTTTTTAATAAGTGTTCTAAAATGACAACTATTTTGTGATTTGATCTTTTATAAACGCTATCGATTGCTAGTACGATTTAAAAATAACAAATCAACCACACTTACAATCAGCTTTTATTGTGAAATAACATTTTTCTGTAGATTTTCATACAACAACATTAAGTGTACTTACCATCAAAGTCATAAGTCACTACCACTTGATTGTAGTTTGGCGGTGGATTCTTAGCCGGAAATTTTGTGACAATAGTTACATTGTGGCCTCGATTTGATAATTCAAAGAAAAGTGGTTCAAATGACACAACATGACTCTTCCAGGGCGACGGAGTAAATACTAAAATATTGGCAGATTCAATTAGTTCTATTCCATGAAANGACGGAGTAAATACTAAAATATTGGCAGATTCAATTAGTTCTATTCCATGAAAGCAGATTAAAAATAACACTATTAAAGTCTGCGTGGTGAATCGTAAGCGCTGTTTTTTTTTAAATATCATTGTTCTGAAATTTTATAAAAATCAATCACTTTAAACTAATTAGTAACTATTTATATACTATAATAGTTTACGAAAAACACATTTTTTAATATTAGTACAATTTTTTATTAAATTAAATTACACAACAGCCTGTGTATCATTGTTTACAGTATTTTTTGCATCTTAAAACTATAAAAACTAACCATTGATAAGATATATTAGAAACCAATAAAGTAATCGATGTTTTTTCAATCAGTGAATTAATACTTCAAAAGAAAATTATACCTAAATTAAAATCTAAAAACTTATCTGATAGAACTCATATCTTTCACGAGTTTAGTAACCTCACATTTTCACGTGCACTGGCAACGGATGAAATATAACTAAATGAATTGGATGACGGATATAAACAGCTCGTAGGTTTTTTAACCTGTGATTTTATATACGTAATTAAACACCATTGTTATTATATCAGTACGATAAATTATATTAACTATTTTATTATATGTACACCAAATTGTAAGTATTGATGGTAATCTTATATTTATTAAAATTATATTAAAAATATAGATTTAAAACTAAAAAATATAAAAATCGCCTTTATAGTGACGTTACTATTAAGCAATATTATCACATTTTGCTAGTTTACACGAGTTTAATAATGAATTTTTCAGTGGCCCAAGATCTCAATTAATTAAATTGTTTTTATTCTTAAACATTTCTATTGCTTTCCTTATATTAAGTTCTTTGTAATTAGTTACGTTTTTAATTATTATTATGGATTAGTGGAGTGATTATGTATCAATAAATGTGCAGCCATAATTTTTTTTCCATTTTTAAATTTTACGTATTACATTCAAAAATTGAGTCTGTACCGTCTCATATGTTACTAATGATAAAAAAATTTCTTCAAAAGACGAGATTTAATTTAAATTCTCTTAAAATCATAAGTCTTTATGTTATGCTAACAAATTTGTACAATCATCAGAGTGATTGAAATTACAATACAATTTTAATTGTTTCAAACTAGTAAAAATGTTAATCTAAATATGTGTATTACTAAAATATTGCTAAAACTCCATTTTTGCACGAAAAATGTATACATGTTACATACTTTAATAAAATAAATTTGTCTAAAGAAAATCAAATTATAAATAACTGAAAAAATAAATCAGTGATATCTAACCTAAGGTTATCATTCATTCTATTCGAGATTTGCCCTTGAAAACTAATTATTGAATTTATGTAGTATAGTAGAAGAATATAACAGTCTAGTTCAATACTTAAAAAAGTAGTCTAGTTCTGCTTTACATTGGTTTAAATCATAGTCACGTTTAGCATAAATAGCATAATATTACTCCTCACAGAGTACCATCATTCTTTGATAATAGAATGTTTACCTGATCTATTCTAAAAAAATCACCACACAACATATCGTCTGTTTGCAGACCAATTGGCGTAAGCAACATTTTTTATCAACTAATTTTTTTTTCCTAAAAAGTAACTTATGGATACTTCAAATCAACCGAATCAATATTACAGTCGACATATTTTGTGATTTTAAATTTAATGACCCCATCGCTTTTCATTAATTTATTTATATCTAAATGTACTCCTAACAAGTGTACAATTTATATTGTATAATACTTTAATTCGGTTGTCGCGTATTTGATGTAATTCGCCATCTTAATTCATTTTTAAAAAAAATTGCATATTTGCATTGCTATGTGGCAATACATTGTTTCGGATATATTATAGCTTTAATAATTAAATAATGATGCGATTATTGATTATTTAAATATTTAGTAAAAAGTATAATTTTCTTAACAATAAAATATATTTGATGACGGCTTCTTCTGCAACTACAAGGCTATTTCAGTAATTAAGCAAACTTTTAAGGCACGACTTTTTGAAAGAAATTAATAATAAATATGAATGTGTCATATGCTCCATAAACACATATCAGTGTTAAAAATATATCACTCGAGTTTCATTAGTTATCTTGTTCAGTTGCAACCGTTTAACGTAAACGTCGCAGATGGCTTAATGGTTTTACTCTTAAAGCAACTTGTATGCTCAAATGGCATCGCATAAATTATATGACACTCTGAAATTTTAATGTTTAAAGTGTAACCTTGTCAACTCTTTCTTTCTTTAGAGTAAAAGTTAAATTATTTCGTACAATTCAAAACTTAGCATAAGTACAAAAAGCAAATAAAATATCATATTATTTTAATATCAAATTATTAAAAAATAAGAAAGGTTTGTTTCAATCCGAAAGTTTAATTTATATTTTATACTCAAAAGTATTTAAACAGAAATTTACAACAAACTTTGAAATCATAAGACAATGAATACTAAAACAGTTTAAATGTATGTATGACCGTTGAAAAATATTTTATTTCAGATAAAATACAAGTTAAATCAATCATTTCACAGGAATTCGAAATATTACAAAGATATCTTCAGAACTATTATAAAAAATATCTTTACAAACACGTGTTGACCCATTAACCATTAAGCCATTACATACAATTTATAAAGGTATACTAACAAAAAACTTTATTTATCAATATAAAGATTTTTTCTAGGAATAAAGGTTTAAAAAATACCCACAATAAACTCTATACATTAACACTTCTATGCTGTACGTATAAAAAATATTTTTTACTCAATATTTCAACTCCCAAATGGTAACCACACATCCAATTTTTACTTTTATATTTATTTATATTGACAACTGAATAATAATGTAAAGTTTGTGTGTAACAAACCGTAAAAGAGAACCAACTAGATATTATTAAATCACAAATGATGTTAGCCTATAAACAATAAAAATGCAGATCTTTCAACCAAAAATCGTTTTATTTATATATAAATTTAATATCTTTATTTGTAGTTATAAATAAATAACAATAATTTTTTCTATTAATTTTTAATAGAAACATGTCTTTTAATCCTGTTACTAAACAATGAAAAGGAGCTATGGGATATTTTTCACTATTGAGAACCCATAAACTAAAGGCTACCACCACTTTCCTTCATTTTTCCTGAAGTGGAATAATAATACTCCTACTGATCTTTATTCTGAAGATTATAAAAAAATCTGCCTACTTATGTTTATTTAATAAATATTCTTTTAGGGGACACCACTGGAAAATATATGCTAAACGTCCAAAAACACGAGTAATTCAGACACTACTATGCTTCTCATTGAACCTTAAATATTTTAATTAACACATTTAAATAACAAAAAGTACATATATGTATTATAATAATAATTAATATATATGAATCATTATTGAGAATTTCTAAATATTACATTATTAAAATTGAAATTGCTATCTTTAAGTCAATAATCTTCATGATTAACGATTATAATACAGCATAAGATTAAATTTAAACAATGATAGCAATAATTTTATGCTTTTACATCTGAAATCAATGCTATCAAAAAGCGGTACTATATGCTGAATCAACCAATGTCCAAAAATCACTTTTTTTGACTCGTTAGGCACTCTAAAATCACACAAATGAATCTATTAAATAAAATTAGTATACGAGTTTTACCCAAATCATAAAAAATATTGAATTTCTATGTGTCCCATATCATATCGGTATCATAGGTAATGAAATAGCGGTTTCACTAGCCAATGAAGCTCTATCCTCTTTTAACTCTATACTCATAAACACACTCTCATATAAACATATAGCCAAAAAATTCATATTACCACCATTCAAAATTGATAGCTTAAATGGGTCATCATATAGCTTCTCAAGCGATATGACGAACCATCGACTTGAAAACATTAAAGAACCTATAAAAGTATGGCCAACGACACAAGCTAGATACAGAAAAATAGGATACTCTAATAAACCGTGTAAGAATCATTCGACTAACCAATTTATTCCATCGAGAGGAACCCAGACAATCGAACATATCACATTAGATTATATGACGAAGCATAACACATGTTAGACTATCTATACAACACGAAAGAAGCTTTGGATGAACACAATACCAATTTTATACATAACTAATAGAATTAATATTATTACTAAATTATAAAAATAATTTACAAAAAAAATTGTGTATATCAAATACAAAAATGTCTTAATACATTTTGACTATTAAATATATTTTATATTGCAGACTAATGGCCTTAGTTATCGAAACCTTATCTTCTGATAAAAAAATAATAATTAATATTTTATTTGTTATCTACCATAATATTTTTTTATAATTTTGTTTATTCTTTACGAGCAATATCAAGTGTTACCTCTTTTTATAATACACGTATTATAGTCATAATTTAAAATGACATTTACATTAAAATTTTATTAATAGCTAAGTATTTTACACGAAAGTACTCTAAACGTATGGATCTGAGTGTTTAATATAAATTAAAATGCAAATTTGCTTTTACCAGCGGAGTCTATTAAACGCTTCGTTACCAGCATCGCATGTCGTTATAATAATCGTTAATTGTTCTGTATTGCCGCAATGATCTCTACGCATTCCCATATAACATTAATGCATTACGGAGATGACCCCACGTGATGATTATTCACACATTACATACTCATTATATTAGTATTCCCCGACGTGTTTCTGTCAGAACGCCTAATTATCAATTGTATTTATCGATATTTAAAAAAAAAAAAAGAATAATTAACTAAATAAAAAAACTTTTCTTATTTGATCTTATAAGTTTAATTATCAATTATATTTGAAATAGATAAACTTATAGTTGTTCTAATTTTGACGAAAATACTTATTTTTTTTTTATCTTTAAATAATTTACAAAATTTGTAATTTTGCAAAGAATATTTTTTAACAAAATTACTAACTATAATAAATTTTTGATGCTCTATAAGCGACAAATTAAAAAATAGTACAGTTTTTAAAATACACATTAATAAATACACTTCTGTATTTATTTTTCCAAAATATGATAATTGACAAAATTGGGATTTTGAAATTTTTATAGTATATGTAAAGAAAAACTACTCGGGGACATTCAGTGAATTATTTTGGGAGAAAGTCCCCTTTAATTAGATTGCTATCAAAAATCGTTATTATTGAATTTCGTTGATTTAGATTATTGAGTTCGTTGATTTTCATTTCGGTACATATCTAAGTAACATTCCAAGAAATGGAAAGAACGAATTTTTTAGATAGTATTTCAAATTTCCCGGAATTCCCTAAATAGGCTACGTCAGTTATATTAAAAAAGTTTTTAGAAATATTGTTTTGCTTTAGTTACGATTTTAATTTAAATTATTTTATAATCATTTGAAAAATTAAAGAAATTGATTTGAAAGTTTTTGATAATTTTTATGTACTATAAAAATATAGAGTACTAAAAATAGCAAAAATTAAACAT